ATTCTTTTTGATCTAACCTTTTCTCTAGTTCCTGGTCCCCTTTTCCTATTGGCCTCAGTTGCTTTTAAGGTATCTGCTTTAGTTTCTCTGCGTAAAACAGGAGAATTCTGAGAGCTAAATAAAGCTGTATATAAACTCCTTAGTGCACTGTATATCTTTACATGTTTATCTTTTCGTCCTTTCTTTTCCATTCACTCCTTCAAGAACTATGACTATTGTACTAGGCTCTCTCCATAATGGATACAACAAAATACTCTTTTTTAGGAAAATACAGAAAGAAATGAAAGTGAGTAATTACAAAATTTCATGAACACTATAAAGAGATATATGATGTTGAGAGATTACAACTGGTGTTTCTGTATGTACTTAGAGAGATCAGGAAAGACAGGGACCACACTGCTGAGCTCTAAAGGATAAATACACATTAATTAAATGAAGAGAAAAATGGCCACATACACTGCCCAGATTGGAGAATATCTCTCAATAAATTGTTTGCTATCTCTAGCATGGAGGCGTAAGAGGAAGCTGGGGTAAGCTAAGACCCAAAATGTAGTTTGAGGTCAGACAATATAGGTTTATCTTAAGAGAAATGAAAAACCCTTGAAGTGGCTTAAATAGGAGAGGAAACACTGATCTTTAGTTCAAAAAAACAAACAAAAAACCCACTCTTAACTACAATGCAGAGAGTAAGTTACAGGAAACGAGAATGAATGAGATAAATCAGTTGGGAGCTATTGCCAAAGTTCAGGCAAAAATAGTACAAGTTTGGATCCAGACAGTGAAGTTGTAGATTCATTCTTTTTTCTTTACTAAGATCCTATTCAGTGTTAAGCACTATCATAAGTACAGGAAAGGGAGGGGGGAAAAAAGACAAAATAAGCAAAAAAAGACAAAAAAAAAAACCAACCTTTCCATCGTGGGGTTTATAGTCAAGTGAGGAGACAAATAACTAAAATATATCACTTACATCAACTGGTCATAAAGTGCTATGACAAAAAATAAAACAGCCAGGGGCCAGAGGCTCAAACCTGTAATCCTAGCTACTCAGGAGGCAGAGATCAGGAAGACCATGGTTCAAAGCCAGCCCAGACAAATAGTTCACAAGACCCTATCTCAAAAAACTCATCACAAAAAAGGGCTGGTGGAATGGCTCAAGCGGTAGTGTGTGAGGTCCAAGGTTCAGGTATCTGCCCTCATGGTCTCAAGGTAGATGGTTGATAGTGAGGTAAGTGTTGAGGGAAGCAGGAACACCAGGAGACACAAAATTCTGTGGCCTCTCCCTCATTCCTGCCAATGATGATACAAAAGCTGGGGGAAGGACAGTCTTACACCAGAGCACTAAGTGCTTTTAGACTCCCTCTCAACTCCAGGACAAAGGTGGAAACCAAAAGAAGATTCTACTTAGGTAAAATTGTTTATATCCCAATTCCTACCAGAATAAACTCCACGAAAGCAGATGTATTTTTATTACTACATCCCTAAAATTCAGATGAATGCCCAGAATTCAGCATTGCTGAAAGAATAAATAAATAAATGGGAGTGTAGTATTTATAGACAAAGAATCCCTATATTATCAAGGTAAAGATTCTATATGTGTTTATATAAAAAACTACCAGGTGGATTAACCACAAAATAGCTTTAATAAGTAACTTAAGGGTTGGGGGAGTGGCTCAAGCAATAAAGAGCACCCACCTGAGTTCAAACCCCAGTGCCATCAGAAAAAAAAAAGAAAAAAAAGTCAGCAAAAAGTAACTTACGTAGCTCTAAGTTGTTTGATTCTGAATCATAATCAAACTATATTGACTTTTAATTATCTTTGACTATTTTATTCAAAGAGTATGAAAGAGAGTCACATTTTACAATTTATAGCATTAAAAATATACAGTTAGGGATGTTTTATTTAATAAAAGTTACCATAACAATACATAATTAAATTGAGTCCAGAAAGCAGATTTTTCAAATTATTTTAGCATGTTTGTTTAAAGAAATGGTCCTGGGCTTGAGTACCACCCCAAAAAAAGAAAGAAATGGTACTATTTTATCCTATAAGTGTCCTCAATTTTTTTTTAAAGGAAGAAGGATTTTTTTTGGCTCACAGTTCAGAACCTCAATTTTTATGACATCAGTTTGCTAACACAGCCAATGAAAAATCTGTAGATAATACTATCAAGCAATAATTTGCCTTTTAACAATGCCAATTTTAAGCCATTATATCAACCATCTGATGATTAAAAAATACTTTAAATATAATTATAGTATGTTTTTTAAGTGTGCTTTAAGTCCACATCCAACTAAAATTTTTTCAATTACTTATAAAATTTAAATTGATGTTATTAAACAAATTACTTTTTAAAATACATACCTTTCTCTCACAAAATCTGCTAGTTCTTTTGTTGATATCTGTCCATGTTTCATATTATGGTAGAGAACATCAAAGCCACTATTTTTTTCCCCCTAAAATTTGAAGAGATATGTAGTTTAACAAAAAACTAAAAATGACTATACAATATGCTCTGGTAAACCTTATAATTTTAAACCATATCAAAGTAATTCTGTGTGCTTTGATAAAACTTATAATTTGCTACCTGTAACATACACACAGAAACACATGCATATACTCTGTAATCACCCATAAAGATACAATGAATGAAATTAAGGCTGAATTTTTAATAATATGCAGCATAATTTAGAAAAGAAAAACAAAGATCTTTTAAAACTCACATTACAAAATCCCATTTCAATTCCTTTAACACATACAAGAGACTCCTGATTACTTAACAAGTTTGTACTTTAAAATAACTACATTTTGACTTTTGAGTCAAGACAGCATACTCCTCAATATGTAAGAATTGAACATCACAAGCCTAGTATGAGTGGCTTATGCTGTAATCCTAGCTACTCAGGAAGCAGAGATCAGGAGGATCAGGGTTCAAAGCCAGCCTGGGCAAAGAGTTCATGAGACCCTATCTCGAAAATACTCAATGTAAAACAGGGCTGGCTGAGTGGCTCAAGTGGCAGAGCTACTTGACTCTGACTAGAAAGTATGAGGCCCTAAGTTCAAACCCCAGTACTGCCAAAAAAAAAAAAAAAAAAGATAAAGAAAAAAAGAATGAACATACACAAAACACTTTATACTTCTGTTCTAAATCCTTCAAGAAACTTTTGAAAGGTGGAAAAAAAAGGATAAAATTTTAAGAAAAGACAAGAAACAGGCTATTTGCTTAGTCTTCAACTAATAGGAAATTAACAGAATCAGATGAATATATGATCTGAGAAAACATAATTGCTGCTTAATCCTGTAAATCCTGAATTAGTAAATCATAACTAAGAAAATATTAGAAATGTCAATTTATTCTGTAAAACAAAAGACCATTAATAAACTAAGATTAACAGCTCTCTTTAAGGGTTAACAGTTTTTATTTTTTTTCAGTGAAAACAGAATAATGAAGAACTGAATATATTTGTCAGGAATAAAAGCAATACCATAAACAAGTATTACATATCTGAAATCTAATTTTTCAACAGTTCACCACAAATAGGAAACATAGGATCTTCCATTTAAGTTGAAGTGATCTCTAATAAACTCATCAGCTTGTTAGCATGCAAGAAGCTGGCCATACATGTAACAAGAGAAAAGGTCTTATATGTTATGAGATAACATAAACAATATCCTTAGCATTTTGAACATCCATTTCCACCTATTAATAATATGGCCTGATGCTGGTGGCTCACACCTGTAATCCTAGCTACTCAGGAAGAGATCAGGAGGATCCCGGTTTGAAGCCAGATCACACAAACTGTTTTCGAGACCCTATCTTGAAAATACCCAACACACAAAAAAAACACTGGCAGAGTGGCTCAAGTGGTAGAGTGCCTGCTTAGGAAGCGTGAGGCCCTGAGTTCAAACCCCAGTGCCGCAAAAAAAAAAAAAAATTATCAATTAAACTGAACTTACGTAAAAGACAATCAAGTTGTATGTAAGGTCAGCAAGTCACTGAAAATGTTCAGATTTTTCTAGTTTAATACAAGAGTTCACAGTGAAGCATCCTAGAAATTTCTAATTTAAAAAGTTTAAGTAAACCATTATACCCATTTCCAAAAACCAAAGGCATTTTTCTGTTTTATACTTTATAGTATAAAGAACTAAAAATGGAATAATTTTGAAATTTCTTCAATGAACTTTCCAAAGGCAACAATAAAATACTAAAAGTTAAAAAACAAACAAACAAAAAAAAACCACCTGAATGTTCTTCACTTTTGGTTTGCTGTTGTTTTTTGGAGTTTTTGTACTAGAGATTCAACTCTGGGCCTGGAATTTGCTAGACAGTCACTCTACCACCTGAGCCACACCAATCCTTGTTTTTTTGTTTTGTTGTTTTTTTTTAGAGACAGGGTCTTGCTATGTAACTCGGGCTGGCTTGGAACTCACTATGTAGTCAGCTGGTCTGGAATCCACAATCCTCTTTGTCTTAGCACCTGCCCTAGCATCCAAACTGCTGAGATTACAGACATGAAACACTGAACCCAGATCTATTCTTCACTTTTGATGAGCATAAGAGTTGGAAAATAGGCTGAAGACAGTACATTGTACAATTACATTACAAATTAAAATCTTGGTTTTATCAGTTTTAAGAAAGCTTTTATTTTTAAGTTTTAAAAGGGGTAAGAAAAGGGTTAGGAGATGCTTCTTGCAAAAACTTTTCAATAATATGCCTAAACCTTCCTGAAGTTCAAACAGCTTCAAAAACAAACAACATCATTGCTTCCCACCCTGCCTATGTTTTCCTTTAGCTCTTACTGACATTAGATAACCTTGGGTAAGTCACTGAAAAATATAACATGAATATAAGTTTGATCTAGTCTTACTTTATCCTTGTTCTCTGAAAATCATGAAACATTTAACTAATTCTAAAGATTTTTTTCTTTAAAGAATAACACCTTAGGCTAGGGATGCAGCTTGGTGGCAGAGTACCACCATAGGCAGCACCACAAGAAGAAAAAAAAAATTGTTCCTCTAGTGAAGAACCTATAGAGATCCTTTTGATGAAAATTCAATAAATCTGCAATGACAGCCCTCTTGTGCCATTTTTGCCTTGAAAAACTGCTAAGAGGATGAAAATACGCAAGCAGTTTTTCTATTAGTATGCAGTATGAGTACTAGTATTAGTACATAGTACTAATAGAAATAGTACTACTAGTAACTAGTACCAATAGTACCAACAGAAATAGTACTAATGCTAGTACTAGTAGTAATAGAAATAGTACTACATAGTAACAGGGCATGTGAACACAAGTTATAACTTCTAGTCAACATTCTGCTTATACACTGAAATTTTCAGTTGCAATCATTAAAAGTACTCTGCAGAGGTATTAGGCAAGATATTGTTAAAGCAGAAAACAGTGATTAAAATGTGTAGAATGAGCACTGCTCAGCAGTCAGGACTATCTGATGCAGGCACAAAAGTGACTCACCCATTTGTTGGTTGACCAAAGGAAAGAAATCTTACTACAATTTTTAACAATTATTTTTCTCACCACTCAAATATTCCTCCCTAACCTTTTTTATTATAACTCACCTCTTCCAGTTAGTCAAATCCCTAAAGCCATTTAAATTCATTTAAATTCATCGGCTCAATGAAAACAGTAGCAGAAAGGAGTGGTGAGGTAATATTTTTTTTCTGTATCTCTTGAATTTTCTACAATATTTAATAAAGTAATTTTCACTTTATTTCAAAATGAAAAAAATAAAAATTAACAATTTCAGCTTTCTTAACTCTTCAGTCTATGCTTGCAAATAAATAAAAGGCTACTTTTTAAAATTGGCATCTTATTCATATCAGTACTTAAAATCTCCAGTCCTCATAATTCTTAAGTGGGAAAAATCTGAGTAGGTTAAATATCCAAAAAGGGAGTGGTTAAAAAAAAAAAAAACACAGCCTATCCATTCCATGGAAACTTATGCAATCATTAAACGTTTTCAAAGAATACTTAATCCCAAGACCAAAAGGCTGGATGGTAATGTCATTTAAAAATATCAAAGTATAGAACTATAAAGAATATACAGAAGCCATCTTGAACTTTACATTTCTAAAGAAAATCATAAGGCTAATGGGAGATAGTACAGGTAATTTTTATTCTGTATTATGTTTTACCTATCACATAATAATGGTTAAAATAAGAAAACTGCACATGTGGCTATTGTTTCAACCAAATGAAAACTCACATTCCTCAGTTTCATTCCTATTGTTTCAACCAAAAAAACCCTCACATTCCATCACCAGCAGTTTGTTTTACTTATGTTATACCACCTATCTTTTCCCTAACGCCAAGCAAACATGCTTACCATAGCTTTCATAACTTTGCTGCAATTCAGTCAGGAAACATGGATATCTCCTCAGTTGCAACACAGAGCTCACTAATCACTTCCCAGTTTCATCCTTTATGACTGTAGCCATTCCTACCACATCCTCTCAAGCATCATTACCATCAGAATTATAGGTCTAGCTGCTATTATGCTGTTGCTTTTGTTTCTCCCTACATCTGACCAATTTATGTTTATTTCTATGAACCAGACTAATACTAAAATTCTTCCAACTCTAATATTCTTTTATTTTTACACAATAAGAAAACTGAAAGCCAAGCTGTTATTCTTCTTAGTCTCCACAGCACCACAGAATAACCTCAGAAGATATCCCCATGACTCAGAAAACTACTTCCAAAGAGTTAAAGAGTTTTGGTTATGTTAACCAAAGTGCAGGATGATTCAAAGCCTAACTGTTCTCCCATCATTTGCCCTAAATAATTTAAGTAGTTCTGAAAGGACTTTAGTGCATCTAGGATTTAGTGTATAGGGTTACAAAATAACTAAACATCAAATTTTTATTCTCTCCAATGTCAATGTTCCAAAAGTATCCCTCTGAATGAATTTATGCAAACTGAATCACTATCAATTTTTCACTTCCAAATTTCTCCTAAGATTTAAGCAAACAGCCAGGCTCACGCCTGTAATGCTAGCTACTCAGGAGGCAGAGATCAGAAGGACCTCAGTTTGAAGCCAACCTGGGCAAATAGTTCATGGGGCCCTATCTTGAAAAACCCATCATAAAAAAGGCCTTGATGGAGTGCTTCAAGGTGTAGGCCCAGAGTTCAAACCCCAGTACTACCAAAAAAAAAAAAAAAACCTCCCCCAAATTCTGAAGGGCTCACAATGAAATTTAGTACAATAATTTTAAACCTATCATGGTGACACATGCCTGAAATCTACAACTAGGGTGGCTGAAGCAAGAAGATTGATCCAGAGTTGAGGCCAGCTGAGGATACATATTGAGAGACTATCTCAAGAACAAAACAAACAAAATAAAACAGTATAATTTTAGAATATCTACTTACCAAGTCTAATTGGACCAAGTTAGATAAATCTGTAGTCAATGCATTTTCATCGTTTTACTGCAGTG